TTGGAGATTTTTCTATGCCTATGCTATTTTTTTTGCTCTATTTTGTCCCAACTGTCCTGCTGATTTTATTTTTGTTTTTATGTCTTAGATATCGATGAATGCAAAGACGCTCAGCACAATTCCATGTGTTCTGCGGGCTCAATTTGTGTAAACAAGATAGGGAGCTACACTTGCGAACCCAAAGAAGGCAAAAAAGCCTTGCCAATAATTTTGGGTAAGCCCCATAGTTTTTCGATATTTATTTATTTTTAGCATAATATATCAATTTTATAGTATATTCGGGTTTTTCTCTTTTGGTAAAAATAATACATTCGGGTGTTAAAAGTTGAAAATGGTATTTTTTTTTACTGGGAACTGCACAAAAAGGTAACTGTATGATGCTTGTATGATTCCCACCCCTCGGTCCAACATCTCGGCCTTTCTACTAGTTCCCAATCTCAATAACACGGTTTCCCGCACGAGAAGCAAAAGGGCATTCAAAAAAGAGACACTTGTATAATTCCTTGGCAGAATAACACAACAAAAAATTAAACTTAAACGCATACTTCTCCAGTTCAGTACCTATCCTTTGTATCCTTTCTCTTCAACAGACCTTTCAGTAGCATCTAGAGAATAAACTGTTGTCCAGGAATCCAACCAGAATTCCACGCCAATCTAAACCAAGCAACTATATGAACCTGGAAGTCTGTAACCTCATCAATTGACAATTGGTAGCTTTATTGATTGAGAAGCCCTTGACTCCAATAAAAATTTATTCGCTCCCTCAGACAAAGTCAAGCCTTTTGATCTCAGCCACTACACCAGAATATCTCCTTTCAAAACTAGTTGGCATCTGCCATCCAAATTGCCCCCACTGGGAAATTTTGTTTCATGCCCCGCAGTTAGTGATCTCAGCCATATTTTGTAGCCTATCACAAAGTCAGTCTCCTGGTAGCCAACACTCACAACAAAGGGAGGTTTGTCTACCATCCCCAACTTCAATACTAATTACTAACACCATCTCTTATCATCTTTGTCACTTATTCACCTAAAGATCTTTCTTAAAGACCATGCAGAATCCCGTGGACTTTTATTTATTTTATTTCATTTCATTTCAAATTTTCTAACTAAGCATGAAACTGGACTTTTATACAATCAAGTTTTGATATACATGTGTACCTCCCACTAAAGTCATCCGTTTCTCCTTTCTTAATCTCTGCAGGCGTTAGCCTAGGGCTTGGAGTAGTGTGCTTACTTATTGGTGCATACTGGTACGAAATTTTAAAGAAGAGGGAGGAAAAGAACCTTCAGAGGCAGTTCTTCAAATTATTATTGCAGCAACAACTTTCTTCAACTGAGGGTAATATTGGAAGGACCAAAATATTCAGCACCAAGGAGTTGGAGAGGGCAACTGACCATTTCAACAAGAATAGAATACTTGGTCAAGGAGGCCAGGGTACTGTTTATAAAGGAATGTTGACTGATGGAAGAATTGTTGCGGTTAAGAAGTCCAAAGCACTAGATCAAGAGAAAGTTAAAGAGTTCATCAATGAGGTGGTCATTCTTACACAAATTAATCATAGAAACATTGTTAAGTTATTAGGCTGTTGTTTGGAGAATGAAGCTCCTTTGCTAGTTTATGAATTCATCCCTAACGGAACACTTTTCCAGTATATACGTGATGAAAATGAAGACTTCCCATTAACCTGGGAAAGACGATTAACAATTGCAGCAGAAGTTGCTGCTGCCCTTTCCTACTTGCACTCAGCAGCCTCCATTCCAATTTATCATAGAGATGTCAAGTCCTCAAATGTTCTACTGGATGAAAAGTACAAGGCAAAAGTTTCGGACTTTGGAACATCAAGATCAATTGCCATTGATCAAACTCATTTGACTACAAATGTTCAGGGCACATTTGGGTACTTGGACCCTGAATATTACCAATCTAGTCAATTTACAGAAAAGAGTGATGTTTATAGTTTTGGAGTTGTCCTTGTTGAGCTCTTAACAGGAGAAAAACCAATTTCTTTAGCAAGGGCAGAAGGAGGAAGAAGTTTGGCCTCTCATTTCATTCATTCCATGGAAGATAATAGTCTCTTGAGTATTCTTGATGCTCGAGTTAGGGAGAGTTCTGCATGTGAAGAGATAACAAAGGTCGCTAAACTTGCACATCGATGCTTGAACTTGAATGGTAAAATGCGGCCAAAGATGATAGAAGTTGCTATGGAGTTAGAGCAGATTCATCTTTTGCAAAACAATTCAAATGGTCAACAGAATCATGAAGAGGTTACATATGTCAAAAGTGAAGTAACCAATCTCTGGGATGGTACCTCGACATCAATAGGTTCAGGTTTGGACTCTGGAGCTGTGAATTCCTTTGATGATTTTAATGACAACAAAACCATTGGAAAAGTTTAATCAGGAGCTTCTTTGTTCATAGACATGCAGCCATTAATTTCCAATAAATCACAGGGATTTAACTGATTTATCCTAGAATGAATTTATTCCATGTTGAGGAACATCGTAAGCTCTTTCTTTCTTTAGTGTTTGAAAATTTGTAGTTCATCTAATTTTTATTTTTGTTGCTTTGTAGTTTAAAGTTCAAATAAAGTTTATGTACTGCTCGGTTAGAATAATTTGATATCATGATGACAGCTAAGACCGTTTCCTTTCCAATTTTAAATTCTTTGTCTCACAAAAACTCGCCAAGATTAAATTAAGTCAACTTTTAGATTTGGTGCTATGTGCATATTAATATGTGTATGCATGAGTTATTTAATCGTATTCCTCAAAATGCTAGCACAAAGTCATTTCCTAATTCCAACTCAATTATCCCGAAATTTTCACTTCTCAGACAAATAATAGTATGAGGAGATTTTGCTGTTAAGAAAAAAAGCATTGAGTATATTTTCCTTGCTTGGTTTACCTTATGAAGTATGAGGAGAAATTTGAAAGGAAAATATAATTGTTCACACCTTCAGCATAAACAAAACAATCATCAATCATCAGACTAGCATGAAATGCCCTTAATTCCTGTATATCTAAAAAAACAAATTCTAAGATGACTCGGTAATTATAGCATTGAAAAACCAGGTAATAAGACTTACCTGCGTGCAGAAGCGTCAAAGTAGATAGTTATTCCCTTGAAATAGCCTTTCAAAGTAGTTTTCTTCTATCTGCAAACTCAGAAGACAAAACAAGTATCATAAGACAAGAAGAGGCCTAATTTCCGCTGTGCATAATATGGATAACCAAGATGATATAATTCAGTCTACATTTTTCCATTTTCATCCTTATTCACAATTAAACCAAAAGACTCAAATGCATTTTTATTTCATCTCAGATAATGATAATTGAAATACTAGTATTTAGAGTCTTTTTAAAACTTCATTAAAAAAAGGTCTTTTTAAAATAGAAAGTGAGATAACTAAATTTGACTGCCTCTCTTTAACAAGTGAGAGGACTAATTAGACCAGGTCTATTTAGTAAGTGAGACAACTAAATCAGACTAAAAGAAGTATTAATCAATTGGTCAACAGGTGAATGAGTTAATGATATCTAAGCATTAGAATTTTTATGTCAAACTAAAAGCTTAGAATATTTCCAAGTGGCGACCAACCATCCTCTAAAGGAAAAATGAATTTTCAAGTGGATTAAAAATTTCTAGTAATGCATCATATTATATTTAGGGAGTCCGGCCAATTGCGTCTTTCTTCCTTTGGAGTTTGGACTTCAATGTTTGGGCAGTTAGTCCCAGAACATGCATCCTACATACATTTCTTCATCTTTACCGTATAAAGTTCCATTTACACAATGTTTCCTAAATCTCAAATCTAATAAGCATCTGAGGAACAAAAAAATGATGATCATCACGAGAACATCTGTCTTTGCTGTCCTACAATTGCTAATGATTGAATCAGCAGTAGGCCAGGCTCTGGTGAAGCCTGGTTGGAAAGAGCATTGTGGGAATGTCAGCATTCCATACCCCTTTGGAATCAGAGCAGATCGCTACATGCACAAAGAGAGTGAGGTCTCCTGCAGCGACACTTCCAACCCCCCTACAAATTTACTAACCAGCATAGAGACTGAGGTGCTGTATTTCTCTCTCGATCACAGTATAGTTAATGTCAAAATACCAATCATCTCCCAGCAGTGTTCTGTAAGTTTGAATTTTTTGGATATCTCGGGAAGTCCTCTCATGTCCTACAGAAGGAGAATGTTGTTGCTCCCTGAGGGATATGTTCCAGCTGTGTTAGACTGAGTGATTACTGATGAGGATGCATCACAACTACCATATAGATATGATCATGCATTTAATTGTTCCCAGTTTAATGGTACTATTGCTAATTCTTCCTTATTTTATAATACTTCTTCCCTCCCCACCTTATGGATGTCAAGGTAAACCAGGGGTGGCAGGTGTACCAATTGGAATTTTTTTATTATGCCTATGATATTTTTTATTTTTGTTAGTATTGTCTTGCTGATTTTATTTTTTTATTTATTTACTTTTTGTCTTAGAAATTGACAAATGCAATGACCCCAGGCACATTTTTAACTGTGGTTGGGACTCAATTTGTGCAAATAAGATAGGGGACTAGGCTTGCAAACCCGAAGGCAAAATAGCCTGGCCAATAATTTTGGGTAAGAACCATATTTTTGGACTTTTATTTATCATTTTAGAATATAAATCAATTTTAAACTCAAAAACAAATTTAAACTCAAACGCATACCCCTGCAGTTCAGTACCTATGTCTTCAACAGAGCTTGTCACTAGCATCTATAGGATAAACAGATGTCTAGGAATTCCACTAGAATGCCACAGTGCCACACCTATCTAAACCAAGGAACTCTATAAACCTGGAATCTCATCAATTGACAATTGACAACTTTAATTGATTGATAGGCCTCTTGAGTGCAAGAAAACATTATCTGCTCCCTTAGACAAAGTCAAGCCTTTCATCTCAGCCAGCATACCAGAATATCTAGTTGGTATCTGCCATCCAGATTGTCTCCACTGAGAACTTTTGTTTCATGCTGCCCAAGGTGAACTCAGCTATTTTTTGTAGCCTTTCACAAATTCTGTCTTCTGATAGCCAACAGTCATAACAAAGGGAGGTTTGTTTGTCTATCTACCATCCCCAGCTTCAATACTAACTCCATCTCTCATTATCTTTTTCACCTAAAGATCTTTCTTAAAGACCATGCGCAATCCTGTGGACTTCTATTGATTTCATTCCATTTCATTTTGGAATTTGAATAGTCTAACCATGAAATTAGACTTGTATATCAATCCAGTGTTGATATACATCCGTTTCTCTTGCTAAAGTCATCTGTTTCTTCTTTCTTGATATCTGCAGGTATTAGCCTAGTGCTTGGAGTAGTGTGTTTACCTATTGGTACATGGTGGTTGTACAAAATGTTAGAGAAGAGAAAGAAAAAGAAGCTTCAAAAGCAGCTCTTCAAACAAAATGGAGATTAAAGCAACAACTATTTTTAACTGAGGGTAATATTGAAAAGACCAAAATATTTAGTACCCTAGAGTTGGAGAGAGCGACTAACAATTTCAATAGGAATAGAATTGTTGCAGTTAAGAAGTCCAAAATACTGCATAAAGAGAAAGTTAAAGAGTTCATCAATGAGGTGGTTATTCTTACACAAATTAATCACAGAGATATTGTTAAGTTATTAGACTGTTGTTTGGAGACTGAACTTCCTGTGCTTGTTTATGAATTCATCTCCAACGGGACACTTTTCCAGTACATACATGATTACAATGAGGACTTCCCATTAACCTGGGAAAGAAGGTTAACAATTGCAGCAGAAGTTGCAGATGCACTTTCCTACTTGCACTCAGCAGCCTCCATTTCCAATTATTATAGAGATGTCAAATCCTCAAATATTCTACCAGATGAAAAGTACAGGGCAATAGTTTCGAACTTTGGGACATCAAGATCAATTGCCATTGATCAAACTCATTTGACCACAAATGTGAAGGGCGCATTTAGGTACTTGGACCATGAATATTTCCAGTCAAGTCAATTTATAGAAAACAGTGATGTTTACAGTTTTGGATTTGTCCTTGTTGAGCTCTTAACTAGAGAAAAACCAATTTCTTTAGTAGGGACGGAGGAAGTGGAAGCAAGAAGTTTGGCCTCACATTTCATTTTTTCCATGGAAGAGAATAGACTCTTTAATATTCTTGATGCTCAGGTAGGGAAAAATTCTTCACATTAAGAGATAGCAAAGGTTGCTAAACTTGCATATCGATGCTTGAGCTTGAGTGGTAAAAAGCGGCCAAAGATGATAGAAGTTGTTGCAGAGATAGAGCAGATTCATCTTTCGCAAAACATTTCAAATGGTCAACAAAATCATGAAGCGGCTAGGTATGTCAAAACTGAAGTAACCAATCTCTGGGATGGTGCCTCAACTTCGACAGGTTCAGGTTTGGACTCTTAGGCAGCTTTGTCTTTAGAAATGGAGCCATTAATTTCAAGTGAATCATGGGGCTTTAGCTGATCTATCCTAGAATGCATTTATTCCATGTTTGGGGACATAATAATCTCTTTCTTTGTTTGTGTTTGAAAATTTTTAGTTCATTCAATTTTTATTTTTGTCACTTTGCAGTTCAAAGTTCAAATAAATGTTCTGCGCAAGATGGATTTAATTGGCAGGCTAAAGTATTATTGAACCATTTCTATTTCTGTTTTAAATTCATTTTGACTTATAAAAGACTTACCAAGGTTTTTGGATTTTTTTTTTTTTTGCCCGAATACAGTCAAAAACTTGCCAACGCTAAACCAAGTCCTCAACACATGATAAATGTCACGTACTTTTTAGATTTGGTGCTATATACATATACGTATTAATTTGTATGCATGAGTTATTTATTTTTATTTCCCAAAAGGCTAGCACAAAGTCATTTCTTAATTTCAGTTCAACTATCTTGAAATGTTAACTACTCAGACAACATATTAACAATCAGCTAAACATTGAGTATGTATTTCCTTGCTTGGTGGATCTTACGTAAGTATGAGGATTTTTCTTTGCTTACCAAAAAACAGAAAATATTTTCTTGAAAACATTTTCCAAAGTGTTCCAATTTCCAAACAACAAAAAATAATCTTTTTGGAGGAAAATATTTTCCAAAATGGAATCATTTTTCACAAACCAAATGGACCCTTAAGCATTAGAATTTTATGTAAAACAGAAGCTAACAATTT